CAAATACATAGCACTATAAACCTAGCTAGAGCTGACCCCTGCATATTTGCACTCAAGCTAACTCTGTGGCAAAAGTTGAATTAGTGCATTTCATGTGTGGGAATGTTAGTAATTTCAGCTCTATAAACATACATTCAATCATATAAATATATGAGATTAATGGGTATCCTTGTCATAGGAGGGGATTTCCCTCCTTGTCGCCTATGTGGCACAATCCCCACCATCCTCATAAAGTAGGCACAAATCCCCACCAACTCACACACTATATATATATATATATCATGAGATTAATGGGTATCCTTGTCATAGGAGGGGATTTCCCTCCTTGTCGCCTATGTGGCACAATCCCCACCATCCTCATAAAGTAGGCACAAATCCCCACCAACTCACACACTCTCTCCTACTTTATGTGGATAATAGGAATTGTGCCACATAGGCGTCAATGAGGAAATCGCCTCCTATGACAAGGATACCCATAAATCTCATATATCATACTCTCTTTAAAAGCACGAGTTCGAGAAATCTTTTCATGGTCAATATTACCCTTTACTATTTTAAATATTTTATTTATATCTTAATCCATTCTAATCATAATTATATCCTATCCTAATCCTATGTGAACTATCTATAGCTTAACAAATTTAAAAAATAACATTAATAAAATATAAAAAAACATCTTTATGGTATTAGTTTGTTAAGATAAAAAAATTATACGTAGCTAACGTACTATAATACATAAAGTATTGAAAACAAACCTAAAAAGTTTTAAAATTGCACCAAATATCCTAAAAAGTTTAAAATTATAAAAATTATCCCGACGTCTAAAAACTTAAAACAATAAATATGAAATTTCTGACAAAAATCTCAAAATCTCAAAAATTATAGAAACACCCTCAGAAGTTGAAATTACAAACAAACACCTGAAATTTTAAAATTTCAAAATTTTTAAATAACATAGATGAATTCAAGGGATTACCATAATGCACCTAAAAATTTCTGACATTTTAAAACTTAAAACAACAAATATAAAATCAAAAAATTAATCGCAGCCTTCGAAGAATTTAAAATTTTCAATTAACACCCTCAACGTCCCAAAAATTATAAAAACACCCTCAAAAGTTTAAATTATAAAAAATAACCTTAAATTTTTAAAATTTGCAAACAACAAAAAATGAATTCAAGAGATTACCCTCGTGCACCTAAAATTTAATATTTGCCGAAATTAACCTCAATGTTACAAAAATTGTAGAAAACTCTTAGAATTTAAAAATCGTAAAAAAACTCTTAACTTTTTAAAATTTATAACCAGTGCATATCAAATCTGAAAATTATTGATAGACCACTGAAATTTAAATTTTTTAAAAATTAATCTACAATTTTAACAATTACAAAATACAGCCTAAAAATTTCAGAGTTGTAAGAAATATCGTGACATTTAAAAATTACCACCGACATATGAAACATAGAAGTTATAACTACCAAACTTGAAAGTGATTTTTTAAAAATTCTCCTAAAATTTTAAAAATTACAAATCACACCCTCAAAGTTCAAAACCACAAAAAGGCTAAAATTTTAAAACTTAGCAAAGAAAATTGTAATTGTTAGGCATTCTTTTATTAAGATATATACATATATATACGGTTTTCTATCCCTTTTCAGCATCTAAAGATAGTCTACGTTTATACTGGTAAACAAAAGGAATAAGAATTGATTAAAATATTCAGTTAGGGAATAAAAATTTAAGAAATATTATAGCTTAAAATTATCGTTACCATATAAATTAAAACAACTGCATAAAATTTTACTAATAAGTTGAGTAGCAAAACACAATAGTAACATTAATTGATAGATGTTTAAATCCATAAAAATGATAAAAGACTATAATATAATAGCTTAGCAATAATTGATTATAATTTAAAAACATTATCTTTAATGTTAATAATATTTACAGGGTAAAAGAATACAATGAATTACGTATGGAGAACTATCAGAATGCATGTTCAGAGATATCTTTTAAAAGAATCATGCTATTTCCATTGTAAATGGGAAAATAAACAAAATAAATTTAAAATTCTGAAAACGTTCATGAATCATTTCAATTGGCATTAACATAAGGCATGTCTATTAAAAAAGCACCGAGTTACATTGAAGAATAATTTGATAACTTTATCCCAATTAAAGAAGAATTATCTATGGAAGAAATAAGAAAAATTAGTAAGCATTCATAAATTTTATATTTTGTTCTTCAAATACTAAAAAAATTAAATATTAATATTATAATCTATGGAAAGTTAGCAATAAAAAATATAGGTATTTAATTTAGATCTTTGTGGAAAATGACAGGGATAGAGCAAATGTAATATTATTGACGTAACGGAAACTCTTATTGGATGCATCAGAAGAATTCATTATAGAGAAAAAAGAAGCAACTCCTAATCTTATTTAAGTAACAAATTAGAAACACAAAGAATTTCATATATATGAGATTAATATTTATTCTCATTGAAATAAAAAAAAAATCAAAGTTTGTATTTTAAGAAGTTTGTGTTGAACATCGGAAATGCATTTAACTTTTTTTGTGAAGTTAAACGACAAGATAAACGATTAACGAGCCCACGAAAGATAACAACACAAAAAATACAACTCTAGCATCATGTCACAATTGAGTAGATGATGAAGACACTACTCTAGAATTGCTCGGGAAAAAGATAAAGGTGAGACAGGATTGATCTTAGTTCAATAAAAAAACAGAAGGAATAAAGATAATATTTTCTGAATATTTTATAGAATAGTTGAATTATTTTGAGTGAATTTAAAAATCTTTGGAAGAGAGTTTCATGAGCATCATTTTTATATGCTTGTGTAGATGCTTTTATCATATGAAAGTATACTAGAGTTAGCATTAATCTTTAATTTATAATTTTTTATGAAGTCTATCAATGATTAGGAACAAACTTCATATTCTCTTTTGTATCGTTTTAGCATACTTTTAATCAATCATTTTGCCTTATTGGTTTTAATTATTCACATTCCTTGTATAACATTATTTTAATATTTTTTACTTTTGCAACAATGTACTTTCTCAAGTAAAGCTTAGTTTCATGTTAGTCAAAATAATATAAAAATTCAAATTAGCTTCAAATTATATTTGTTTTCTATTAATTCAAATATCAATATGAAAATTAATATTGGTTGTAACCCACTTAAACAAATATCAAAGAATATAATAATCGCAATATTAAAGTTTAGAGACAAAAGCGAGCATAAAATATTAAATTGGAACAGATGAACAAATTTTAGTTAGAAAATAATCTAAAAATACTTAATTATGATATTTAACCACGTGCATTACACGTGTATAAAACCTTGTGTGTGTGTGTGTTGCATTACACTATTATAATATATAATATATATATTATATATATATAATTATATATATATATATAATATTAATATATGTATATATATAAATAATATATATAATATGAGAAATATTGAGTATGTCTTGGTAGCCAAACCACAAAAGTTATGTTTGGTATGAGGTGGCACATCCTCACTCAATCAAATGGTTGCATATCTCTATGCAGTTCTCACCCATGTGAATGTGTCCTTATTTAATGGTGGAGGAGATTGTGTCACTTCACTACCAAGCACAAAATTTGTGCTTCGGTACCAAGATCACCTCATATTCTCTCTCGTCTCATCTCTCTCTCTCTCTATTCTAGCTATATTATATATATTATATATAATATATATATAATATATATATATTAATATATATATTATATTAATGAGTATTCTTCATAGGTGGGATTTTTTTTCCTTGCGACGCCTTGTGAACAATCCCCACTTCCTCATAAAGTAGGGAGAGTGTAAGTTTGCGTGGGGATTTGTGCCTACGTTTATGAGGATAGATGGTGATTGGCCACATGAGGCGACAAGGAGGGAACATCTCCTCCTATACAAGGGTGGGGGTTTCGTGCTACTATTATGATGATAGGTGGTCGATGTGCGACATAGGGGACACAGGAGAAAATCTCTCCGATGGACAATGACTACACATGTAATTCAATATATATATATATATATATATATATAATAATATATATATATAAATATATTATACTATATATATATATATATAAGATTATGAGTTTCCTTGAGAAAAAAATAAGGGGCAGGTGGATTTCCCTACTTAACATATGTGGCACAATCCCCACCATGTGAAGATTCTCTTCTCCTTCATATGTCGGCGATTGCTGCCACATCCATGTTGAAGTAAGAAAATCCCTCCTTTTCAAGGATAACCATAATCTCTCCTCCTCATTTATATATATAAGAATAGTTGGAGGCACACCCCAACCACAATCTCCAATCACACCTCCGTCTCTACCTCATAGTGCATTAGCCCCACATCAAATTTTTTTAAACAAATTTGATGTGAGCCCAACATGCACTATAGAGAGCGAGAGGAGTGTGGTGGAGGGTGTGGTTGGGGGTGTGTTCCTAACCACTGTCATATATATATATATATAATATATATATAATGATATATAATATATATATATATATTATATATATATATATATATATATATATTATAGAATATCGAGAACTTCGTCAGCAATGTCTTATTGAACTGGTAGTCGAGTGTCAAAATCTAGCGCCAACATCATGCTGCGGAGATGGAGCATCTTTTTTTAATGTAGTGTGATATAATTCGAGGCTTCTCTCTCCGAGCATGATAGTAGGTCATGATTTGGCCCACCTTTCACTACCAGTTCAATGCCGAGAAACTTAGTACACAAGTGTCTCCATAATATATATATATATATATATAATATATTATATATATATGATACAACACTCACCCATTCGAGTCAATAAGTATTTATACATCAGAAGTAGACATTTATTAGGGAATGGTATATTGGCTGTAGGTGGTCATTAGCATCCGTGTATTAGAAATTCACCTCTATTATTATTTCAAAGAAACCAAATTAGTGTCAATCAAGAGAATATATAAGTAAATAAATGATTTTTTAATGCTGCATAAGTACAATAAGATTGCGTAAAATACAAGCATTAAAACAGTGAAGCTGTAAACTAAATCTGACACATAATAATCAACATTAATGTCTTAGCACCGAATCACTGCATCAAACATCAACAAAAGATGGTTCACATTTGAATCTTGAAAACAATATGGATTTGTGCTTACATCTGCATTATTCTGCGGCTGATTAGTTGAGCATACAGAGCTAGGTCGAAGCGTCACAGGCATGGGTGAGAACCTAAAGGCTCTTACTTCATAGTAATATAAAGAGTTAACAAGAGGCAAAAAAAATCACCCAAAATACAAAAAATATAAACTCTTCTCACTCTTCATAGTTAGACAGTTAGTTAATTAATTACCTCCAGCGATCGCCGGAGCTTGGGAAGCCGGCGGTAGAGGGGCATCTGGCCACCCTCGAACCCCTTGCGGACGCCGGGCCCCGACCTCGACTTCTGCCCCCTCATCCCGAACCCGCAGCTGTTCCCCTGCCCGGCCGCGATGCCCCGCCCCTTCCTCTTGGCCTTCTTCTTCGACCCCGGCTGCGGCCCGAGGTTGTCGAGCCTGAACCTGGCAGCGGGAACAACCGGAGTGTCTGGGCCGAACGCGCGATGCTGGGCCTGCTCTAGATGGCGTGAGGCGGGCGTCTGCGAGCCTGGTTGAGGCGACCGCGTATGGGCTTGGGGATTCTGGAGTTGAGGGCCGAGGTGGAGCCTCTGAAGGGGATTCTGAGAGGGGGAGGAGGTGTGGGCGCACGAGAGGAAAGAGAGACGGTGGGAGCAGGTCGGCTTGGGGGGGGGAGAGTTTTTTTTTTTTTTTGGGGGGGGGGAAATGGCGCTGGGGTTCCCACGGGCTGAATGTTTGTAAAAGTCCCTAGACGGAAATTTCCGTCTAGAATACTTGGTTAATTTAAAAAAAAATTAAATTAAATAAACCGTCTAGTATACTATTCTAGACGGAAATTTCCGTCTAGAATGTTTTATTCTAGACGGAATATTCTAGACGGAAATTTTCCGTCTAGTTTAATACATTCTAGACGGAAAAAATTCCGTCTAGAATATTCCGTCTAGAATACGTGTTTTTCTACTGGTGATTCCTTATTATTTAAGTCAAAAAATCCATATTATATTAAAACAAATATAATTTGATAGTTATGATTTTATAATCTAGGATCTCGTATTCACTTATTCCAAAAATTAAACTTTTTAAAATAAAATGATTTTTCATGTGCTATAAATAAAGCATTGATTATAGGCCGCCTCTTTTATTAAGTTGTTCTCGTATAATAAACTTTTGCAACTCTAGGATATATACTAATGTATATCATGGCGTGTTGCGTCGAGAGAGAGAAATTTGAGCAGGTTTAAGAAGTTAATTAGGCCAATTCCAGATCAGAGTACGATTAAGAAAATGGAAAATTGAGATTAAACACTTGACGATCGAGCATTTGAATTTTTTGTTTCTTTGATAATCAACATTTCAATTGTTTATCCCATTATTCCACATCCCCCTATTCTATCAAAATATATACGAATGAAGAGTTTTGTGTCCCTTATACAAAGCAGTAAAAATGCTCAACTATAATACTAAATAAGACTCCATTAAAATAATCAGGTCATTCAACATTACACGAGCATGAAAATAAAAGAGAATAGCACTACTACATACAGAGAACAACTAATTAGAAAGAAGGAAAATTAGAATTAGCTAGGGTACGAAGTATGCTATATATGTAATAGGTAGGAACTCCATCGACATATGGGGCATTCAGGTTCAATGAAGACGTCAGACAACAGCAGCCATGACCGGGGGCAGTTCAATGGCCGGATGCTGGCGGCGGCGGTGGCGGACTGAGCTGAGAATTACGCCGGTGATGAAGAAGAGGAAGAAGGCAAAGACAACGAGAATAGGGATCAGAACGAAGTAGGCAGAGGGGAGCTTGTTTACGGGGTCGTCGTCTATTGTTGGAGCAGCTGCTGGTGTGTTCACCCCTTGTGAGCAATTCAGCAGGACAAAGAAAAGGATCAGAACGAAGTAGGTCAGGAAAGAGGAAGAGCAATAAGCCATGGAAAAAAAAGAAAATTTCTTTTCTAAGAAAATGAAAATTTTGAGATTAGAGCGGAGTGGAGTTGATTGGCATTAGGATGGAATACATAGTGCTCGAGGGGTGTTGAGTGGGGGAAGGTGAAGACTGTATCTAAATATGGAAGCTCAATCACATGGGGTTAATTCAATGGCTCTTTGCTTAATTATGACTTGCAGAATATCACTAGCTATAAATAGAGCATGGTTTTGACTATAGATCAACTAGAAGTCGTGGTGAGGCTAAAGAGATACGTAAATACAAGTTTTTCTTATTAATGGTTTATTAAGCAGTAGGCAATTTGAGCAATTGAGGATGCAGGAGCTGGCCAAAGAAATTAAGAAATGGCTATGAAACTAGTTCTATGTTATAAGAGGATAAATGCAAGAGGAACGAGACTCGATCTCTTCTTGAATTCTTTGAGGTCATCTTCTTGAATTCTTTGAAATTACAGGATGCATTCGGTTGTTAACTGGAGAATGGAATTGAAGAGATTGAGGAGTCTCTTACCTCTGAAGGCCACAAATTATCCCTGCTTTGCGAGGAATTATGGGGAAATGAGTCTGAACGCGTTGACTGGCGTTGACCTAGGGTTACGCGTTGACCGGCGTTGACCCTAGGGTTTTGAATTGCTCGGCATTGATTAGTGTGGATTTCGTTGAAATATCCAATAACTGACGAAAATAGGTAAATTCGGACTCGAAAAAAAGGTTCGGGGGGCTCGAATTGGTGTAATCGGACATAATATAAGCAACCGGTTGGATGGATTTGAAGGGTCGCTCTTCTCACATTTGTTATGATAATGATAGAATGACGAAAGTGCAGGCAACGTCCAAGGAGTCATTATGATGCCTAGCCATGCGTTTAATGCGATGGCAACTAGGTGGCTGATCATGGGCTCCAACTGGCCATGCATTTAATGCGAAAAATGTTGACCAAACTAACAAATCATTCCCTTCTCTAGGACGTTCCTTAGTGGAGTCCGACCAAAAGACACATTTCGTCTCAAACTATTCTTCCTCATACACCATTATTTCCTTCTAAGAACTCCAAACCCATTAAAATTCTTCTCTTTAAAAAAACCTTAAACTCAAGACAAATTTCGGAATTTTGAAGCTCCCTCCTTGGCCGAAAATTTCTTCCTCTCAAAGCTAGGGTTTCATCATCTTCAAACTCAAGGAGTCCGACCAAAAGACACATTTCGTCTCAAACTAGGACTTCTTTTGTAGATTGCGACTTGAAGGCGCCTTTCACCTTAGATATGGTTTCCTAGAAAGGCCAGCTTCATTGGTTGGACTGGGTATATATCCAAGTCGGGCCTTTTAGTCATACGACTTAGCTCGTTAATTTGACACATGGTCAACTTTTAAGGGCTCATTAAACTTTGGTGATTTTCCAGGTATAACATGTAGGTATATGGTGTAACACTCTTAACTGTAGTACTTTGTACTGCTAAGTTTGCATCCAACAAGTTTACGTTAGTTGAAGGTTATATGTTGTGAAGGAAGTAGAAATCCACGTGTATAGCAAATTTATGTCGGAAGTTATGTGAAGCACTGAATATTACTCTCATGATGATGGGTTGTGTATGCACAAGTATTTGGGGGTTTTATGCAAAAATTGCAATAGGGCAGAAATTTGGGGACTTTTATGCAAAAGTGGACTGAAATTTGAGGGTTTTTTATGCAAAGTGGACTGAAATTTAAGATTGAAATTTTACCCCCGCCAAAAATCCAGGAAATCCCGAAAAAGAAACAAAAACAATATATATGTTCATAATACATCAGTTACAAAGTAGAAGATCTGAATATATAAACACGCACGGAATATATAATGTCACCTGATAAGTAAATACCGTTATGTTTAGATGTATGTTACCCATATTTTGCTAAAAAAAACACATATACATTCTTATGAGATAAAATTTGTTTAGCCAATCATGAAGAACTGCAGATAATATTTAAATGTGAATATTAGTATTACATTCCACTGTGCTGTTAGTAGAAATGGCTTCAAGAATCAAGGCCCTCAAATTTATATCTTAAGTATGTTTCAATTAATTGAAAAGTGTATAACTTATTACAATGAACATATAGTGATATGAGTATGTGAAAATAGCACGTGCAAGTTTTTTATTTGAAGTAAAAATAGTTGTCATTTCCATTGTAAAAGGAATTAACAAATCTCTTATACCACTATTGAAGAGACTGCTAAAACGCTCTACTACTTTGGAAGGCTAGCAAATGTGCTTATTGCAACCTTAGCAAATCAGTATTAAAATTATACAATTGCAATTGCAACCTGAGATTCCTCATGACATAAAACTATATATTATTACAGCATTTAAAAGGCTAATTATATTGTATGTAATCCATGAACCCCCAACCAAGATCAAAATGAACAACAATAAACTTGTGATCATGGACTCAACTAAGGGTACTATAAGAAGATTGCTCAGATTTCCAGAGTATCTAAATTAACAAATCATCTAATTCTCTCGATCCTTTCAGTGTATATCATTTCTAATGGATGGGATCACCCTACATAAGATTTTCATTATTGCCTTGAAAATCATTTTGGTCTTGAAAAATCACTAGTAAACTTGAAAATGACTACATTCAAACCCGCTATTTTTTATAGTGGAAATCTTAGCTGGCCATCTATTAGAATTGAGATAGACGTTAATGATCGAGAGAATAGGATTCTCTCCGATTACCACCTAATTAGAGGGAATTTGAGTCCTAATCTTTTACTGACAATCACAACATATCAAACAAAGGTAATTAAGCACTTGTTGATGGTCTTAATCACACAGGTAAATTAATATGAACTGAGTTGATTATAGGCCGCTAACTTCTCCCAATATCTGGTTTTGAGTTGGGTTGCTCTTCTCTGCACGTGTAGCAACTCGTAAGAGGGCGGGTTTATTTTCCCTGTTGTTCCTCTGATGATCAAGTTAGCGAGGTACTTGAGTGGGGGGGAAATAGTGAACGGTATTAGTTCAAGGGTAGTGAAATGGAGAAAAGTGTAGGAAAATTACTTACCTTTGCATTGAGAACAGTTTTCCCTTTTATAGTCATGTAGGAGGGGCATTTTGGTCTCTCTCGGCTGAGTCTGAGCTGGCGGCTGAGTTAGTATCGTCTTTACAGGTGTCGACTGTGGAGTGGTCACGGAATGGGCACTGTCACTTTATTATTAATGAGATGGGATAGGCGGCGTGATCCGATGTGCCATAAATTATGTCGAGGATGGAGAAATGATGACGTTTGTCAAGCATTTAATGTGATGTCGACGCACTGTCAGCGGGGGTTTCGAGGATAAAGTCGTTTCTTTGCCTGTATCGAGGAGTGTCGAGAAGTACTTGTTGGAC